CAAGGCATTTGCTGTGATGGCTGTGGTACAGGTGAGCACCAGGTTTCAAGCGTGGGTTGGAAGAGGGGATTAAGGAACACATTCTAGGTGGGGTGAACGGCGCCCATGGAGACATGCAGGGAGACCACATAAGCTGCAAGGGAGCAGAGCCAGAGCACACAGGTTTGCTTTGCACTGGTGAGAATGGAAGCTGAAAAGGCTACAACCAATTTAGTGTGACAGAGGGATCCCGCTCTTGAAACATATAAATGGACAGTCTGAATGCATGCTGATGAATTTGGATTTTGTGTGGCGGACCTTTAGAGACCATTACAGATTTCTAAAACAGAGAGTTACAAAATCACTCATAGGAATCAATAATCATGATGCACGTGTTCAGTTGAATTCTATAGAAATGCGACTGTGAAGAGCGGTCTGCAATATGTATGTTCCTACCTTACTTCTCTTGGTAATTCCTTTCAATGCAAGCGTTTCTTTCAGGTCAGCTTTACCTTGAAATTATTCTCCACATCTCCGTTTCCCCCAAGCTCCAGCTCTGCAGTGTGCTGTCTGCAGCTTGAATGTCCTGTTGATATTTAACTTGCTGGTGCTCATGTTTGTTTATATCTTCTTGTTTCTGTTTAAAAAAACCCCAAAAACATCCTTTTTCTAACTTTCTGTCAAAATCATGGTCACTCTTCACATCCTAAATTATGGCTACTTTCTCTCCTAATCCAATGATGATGTTGCCCTTCTTTCAACCCTGTTGCTTTGTTTTCTCCTATTAGCACTTAGCTGATTCTATGAGGTATTATGATTGTTTCCCCACCTCTTCTATGAGTTTTTAAGTCCCTCGAGGGCAGCAGCTGGGCATTTCGTGCATCACTTTATCATCAACGATTAGATGGGTGCCCAGTTGTGATCAAGACAGGCTGGCTCCCTGACTTGACTTAGAGGACAGAGTAATATCGGAAACTAAGCAAATACCTTGCACATAAATATTTGTTGAAAAAAATGAATTTGTGTATATGAATGAGCGTATCTAGAATCATCAGAGTTTCAAAGAAATCATTCTTTCCACATTGTCCCTTTAAGCACCAAAACTTTTCATTTTAGTTGAAAATCTTTCAAAATATCCTCCACAGTCCTATAGCAATAAGAAGTCTCTTTGCTAGAGTGAAGGATTTGTTAGGACTTATATCCTGAGATCATTTTATCTTTCTTCTTCAGTGAAATGAGCAGATAATTATGTATTATTATGTAGATACTTTTAAGCATAAGTTGGCAATATAAAGATTACTATTACTGATAAGTGCAGAGAAAGAGATTCAACCATCACCTGCCAATCTTCCCACCACTACAAAATATATTACATCTGTAAATGCAAGATATGGAGAGATGAGAACCAATCTACCCACCTCCCTCCTTCTTTCTCCCTCTCCCCTTCCCCACCTTCCTCTATTTTCCTCTGTAGAGTTACAACTTATATGTTTTATTGCTGTCAGGTTTTATTTCTCATTTGTGACATGTGAAGTTACTTCTCGCATCCATTAACAATGTTCCACTGTTTTCACAGATAAATTTTTTCCCCATGATGTATTAATGCTTTTAAAGTGTGGACATGAACAGAAAATCTCTTCTGATCTCTGAACTCAAATCGGAATGCCTGCTGACTGCATAGTTATGGGCAAAGCAATAGTTTCAAAACATATTACATGCTTGGATTTAGCGAGTGCTATCTAAGCACTTCCATTGCCTTGGGGAAAAAATGCTGATAATGCCTCTTTTGAGGGAGCAAGATAAATACTGAAATGTGTAAGGAATTCTTCTTAATTCCATCTGTTATGAACCATACTGGATACAAATATTAATTCAGCAAGGGACTTTAACTGATGGATAAAATGCCTCCTGAGAGTAAGGATGTGGGGTTTAGATATATAGCCTTTTGTGGCTGATTAAAACATGAAGAGGATTAACCAGCTTGGCATTCTGGCTCTCTGATCTAATAAATACTGACGGATGCCGCAAGGTTCAGAGCACAGTAATAAAGCAAGGTCACGTAAGATGCACTTCACAAAGCACGGTAAGCCCCTCACATGTGCGTGGCGATGAGAAAAGGGCACACCAGTGGGACCAGAACAGGCCCGTGGGGAAAGGAGGTGGGTCACTTTGTGCTGGACCAGTTGGTGTTTCTTTGTGTGGGATTGCCTCCGGCTGTACGCTGCTATCTTGACAAATTTCAGCAGAACATTTGCATTAAAGCAAATGTTAAAATTTAGAGAGTCAGTCATTTAAAAAATTTGAAAGTGCTGGACCTGAAACAACAATTTTCTCCTCCATGGAAATCCCATGCAATTCAGATTATGTAACTGACACGATGCAATGATCACAGAGCAGGCGGTCCCGGTCTCTTGAGTCAGACGTTCACACGGGGGTGGCCATAGACATTGCACATCTAGGTGGAAGCTGTGGTGTTCTTCATATTTGGGGTAGTGGGGTTACTATTTGGGGAACATTTTCTCTGAAGATATTGTATTATTTAATAGGGAAAAACTCCCCATTTAATATATGCTGTATCTTGGAAAAGGGACCATAGAGATATACAGAGGCATGTTGAGTTGTTATAAGTAAAGCTGAAAATAAATGAGGCTCTGATAACACAATCTGTGAACATTAGGTCAGAGCTACTCCAGGAGGGACTAGCAAAGGCGGAGATTTGAGAATGATCAATGGGCCCAGAAGAGATCAAAGGAGCCGATTTGCATTTTATTGCTTCAACAACAGAGAAAGCCTGTGTTTGGATGGCATGCCTTCCCTAGATTAGATGGGGAGGGCGTCTCACCACTGCAGCCACCCTTGAGCTCTGCCCTCAGACGGGCTCAGAAGTGGCTTTAACTCTGACTTTCGAAACTTTCCTCTCCGCACAAAACGTCAAGTTTCCACGGAAAGACAGAAGTCAGCGACCCAGTCCAGCGGAAGGGCGAGCGGACGAGTTCCGCAGGGGGTTGCTAACGGCAGGTCCTTCCTTGTCCCCGCAGCTGTCCAGCATCTGCAGAGCAGCGGTCCATGCCGGGGTGGTTCGCAATCACGGTGGTTACGTGGACGTTATGCCCGTGGACCGAAGAAAGGCTTACACTGCTTCTTTTCAGAATGGAATCTTCTCAGAAAGGTACACTCACAATCACATATGAAATCTCTCTATCCTTCTGTGCTTGCTTTACGAGCAGCTCATTTCTGTGTGGGTTTGAGGTTAGTGGCCGAGCGGCGTCTCCTTTGCTGATGGCAGTAGTAGGTTTACCGGGGATGGGAGAGGCCGTAGTACCAGAGGTGCCTGTCTCCTGCAGGCTTACAAAAATCAAAATGAAAATCGGATCACAAGTCAGAACCACTCTTTGTTAACTGATCTTCTAATGAGGAAAGAGCTTTCATCCTCTTTTGGATTTTCTAGATTAGGTTTTTATATGTAATTCCTCCTAGATGAGCAAGGCACTGAATATTTCTCTAATCCAGTTATCTGACAAAATACTTGGCAAAAAACAATGAGTCTGGTTTTCCCAAGAGCCAAATTTTCTTTTTGATTGGATGTGGGGTGCCTCCTATGACATAAGTGAACTCTTTCAGGTCATCTCAGTGTATCTGGCTCATTAGTATCATATATTTTGGTGGTTTGAGAAAATTCACGGGGCTTACTTTATCAAGTATTAATAAAAGTTGAAAGAACCCATAGTGATTTGTCCAATCACTGGTACTTGTGGAAGTATTAAATCCCATATATTTTGTATAGATACAGAATACCCCCTAGCTTTTACATATGTAGAGGAGGTCTACATGATAGTAAGGTTCCTTTAAAGCAGCAGTTCTCAACCTGTGGGCCGCGACCCCTTTGGCGGTTGAACGACCCTTTCACAAGGGTCACCTAAGACCATCCTGCATATCAGATATTTACATTACG